CTGGGCTTGGGGGCTCAGGAGACTGGGTGTCAGAGGTCGTGACTGGAGAGATTCAGTCAATGGCTACAGGGTTATATTAAACTCTGACCTCTCCCCTGTTCAAAGGGAACAGAATGGATGGAGGGCCCCTCTGGGCTCACTGTGCTACATTGAAGCCAGGCATTTCTGAAGCAGATTCCACTGGGGCAGTTCCCAGCAGCAATGATAGCCACCTGGAGTTGGACTCAGGCAGTGGACAGCGTGGCTTGGGAGAGGGGACTGGGGAACCCCATGAACTCGTAATGCAGGACTTGGTGGTCCTGACTTCTGTCATCTCTTGCCTTGCTCCCCAGATGACAGCAGCCCAGCTGACATATTTGCTGTGGGATTTGAAGAGATGGTGGAATTGAGCGCAGGGAATATTGTCAATGCCAGGTAAGGGGCCAGGTGTGTGGGGCCGGGCAGGGACTTCCTGAGTCAGGTGCCTGGCTGGGAGCAGAGCCTCTGAGGCTCTCCTGGAGCCAGCCTGCTTCTGAGCCAGCTAAGCGGTGGCTCTGGCTGTGTGGGGATCTGTCACCTGGCTCCTTCTCCACGCTCACACATGTACCGCCCCGTTCTTTCCCTGCTACTTAGGAAGTAAAAGGAAGGGCTGATGATTGCTGTGTTTTCTCTGCCGTGCTCTAGCCTTGGCCACTTGTTGAGGCTGATTTACGCTGCCAGAGGGAGCTGGCATGTGTGGACCTGGGATGCAAGGGAAGGGCAGGGCTAGAACTGGGAGAGTGGTTGACTCATGTTTCCTAGGGAGAGGTGAGAAAGCGCGAGTGCCGGGAAGAGGTACTTTCCTCCTGCATACCAGAGCAAAGGAAAAAATCAAAACCACTGGATTTGTGTTTAATACGAAGTCAACTGGACATTCCCCCACCCCCTGCTAAACTGGCCTGGCTTTATTTTAAGGAATTTTCTGAACAAATACATAAGACTGACTCTGTGGGGCTGCTATAAGGTCCTGGGTTGGGTTTCAGAGGTCAAGGAAGGGCTGCTGTGATGTGTGAGACATAGCCAAAAATACCCAGATCCTCCACTAGAAGAAGGAAAGCATGACACTCATATTGGGGTGCAGGCAGTGTGAAATCAGTTCTGCAAAGAGAACAGGCCTGGGCTGGAGCATTTGGTAGGTGGGAGATAGATGTGCTTCCAGCCATCTGTAAACAGCATCATTTCCTTTTCTCTTCCAGTACTACCAACAAGAAGATGTGGGGTGAGCAGCTTCAGAAAGCCATTTCACGCTCTCATAGATACATTCTCTTGACTTCGGCACAGCTGGTGGGCGTCTGTCTTTATATCTTTGTACGTCCATACCATGTCCCGTTCATCAGGTAAGAACATTCCGTTTACACACATCTGGGGAACAAGGGGTTGTTAGTCTTTGTGTTTTGTTCTTTGACTTCCTCCTCCTCCCCCATCCCCTTCTGTAACAGGAATCGGGACTTACCATTATTTTAGATAAATGTAGCAAAAACCCCCTAGGAAAAACTGGGCTGAATAGAATATTGTCTGGCAATTAAAAAGCCACCATGGGAAACGTCCAACTCAGGAAGCTGAACTCTTAGAAAGAGTGTTACATGATTGTCATCGCCCAAGCTCAATTCTGTGCAAGGAAAGGGGTTCCTTGTTGGAATCTTACAGACAGGAAACCTCTGACCAAGAGCTGAGTAACTCACTGGGAAATGCCAACTCTTTTGTCTCTTTTTAAAAGAATTCTAAGTAGAATGGGCCTTTACAACTGGGGCCTCCTTGTCATTTCTCCAAGGTGCATGCTTTGTGAGCGTCGGAAAGGGGGCGAGCTTAGGGGCTGCATTCCTCGTGGGGTGTGGGTGTGGGTGTGGGTGTTTGGATGCTGGAGGAACTTATCTTTTCTCCAGCTTGCGGATGGCCTCATCTTTCCACCTGGGCCTACTTGTGGCTTTCGAATTTCCACCAGCCTTTTGGCGGGCTGGCAGCAAGCGTTGAACTGACCTCCCCACTGAGCCCCTGGGTCCCGGGAAGGGCCTGTGCCTGTCTAGAGCACCACAGGTGCACCCCTGCTGCACCTGGAGACTAAGACAGTGCTGCCCGTAATCCTCTTCTCTGACTTTCAGAAGACGTTTAGGTCCCTGTCCCTCTGCTTGTGTTATTTTGCCAGCTTGGCAGTATCCCAGGTTAGCAGGTGAAGGTTAGTAAGAGTTAAAGGCAAGGGCAGGGTGAGGGTGAGAGAAAGGGCTCAGAACTGAGGAGCATGAGGTTTCCCAGGCTCGGTGTCCTCGGCTTCACGCGCCTTTAGCCCTGAGCTGCTTCCGCCTCCACCCCTTCCATCAGTCATCCCCCCAGCCTTGTCTACCAGGGAGCAGATGCACCAGCAGGCCTCAGTCTGTGGCACGGCTGTGGAAATGTTAACAAATGTGCTTGTAGCCCATGTTTCTGTGGACTTGTATGCATTATGAGTTGGCATTTTAATGCGAGCAGGCTCTGGCATTGCATAAAAGTCCGTTTGAGACCACCTACCCAGCCCAGCATAAACAGCTGCCGGTTTCCTAGCTCTTAAAATGCATTCATTGCTGGGCGTGGTGGTTCATGCCTGTCATCCCAGCACTTTGGGAGGCCAAGGCAGGCAGATCACTTGAGGTCAGGAGTTCAAGACCAGCCTGGCCAACATGGTGAAACCCCGTCTCTAGTAAAAGTACAAAAATTAGCTGGGCATGATGGTGGGTGCCTGTAATCCCAGCTACTTGGAAGGCTGAGGCGGGAGAATCACTTGAACCTGGGAGGCCACCATTGCAGTGAGCCAAGACCACGCCACTGTACTCCAGCCAGGGTGACAGAGCGAGACTCTGTCTCAAAGTAATAACAATAATAATTAAAAAGTTGATTGCCCAGATGACACCTCCCATGCATGGCGTGACAGCCACAAGGGAGTGGGGTGGGCTGGTGGGTGGTGATGTTCGTGCTGCTCCTGGTGGCAGTGAGAAGCTGGGGAGATGCAGGGATTGCCCTGTCTTCGGCTTCATGGGGTGCTCAGGTGAGCAATGAGCACTTGCCAATTGGGGCGTGGAGGAGGTGTGCAGGCAGCAGTGGGCAGCAGTGGGCAGCAGGAGGGAGGCGGCTTCCTGACTGGGAGTCGATGATGGCCAAAGTGGCCGCTTCGTTGAATTGGACAGACTCTGAGCTGATGATTTTGGAGCACTCAGAGCGGCAGGTCCTGAGCTGCTGCTGGGCCCTTCTCTGTGACAAAGCAGGGTCATGTTTCTCCTTCAGGACCCGACAGCATGCACACATCCTTCTGTTCCAGGGACGTGGCCATCGACACAGTGAAGACGGGCATGGGGGGCAAGGCGGGGAACAAGGGCGCCGTCGGCATCCGCTTCCAGTTCCACAGCACCAGCTTCTGCTTCATATGTAGCCACCTGACAGCCGGACAGTCCCAGGTGAAGGAGCGGAATGAAGACTACAAGGAGATCACCCAGAAACTCTGCTTCCCAATGGTGAGCGGTGCCGTGGGGGCGGCCAGCACCTCCCTGCTCAGCTCAGTCCCAAACGTGACTATTGATAGGAGCCAGGCATTGGGAACATAACCACAGGGAGGGCCCCTGCTTGGAGGGCTCAGCGCTGGGGGAGGGGGAGAAGACTGTGTCACCCCATGGAATTGACCTGGGGCAGGGTTAGCCGTGTGCCTGGAGGGGGCCAGCTCTGCAGCATCCCTCCCCTCCCGTTGCTGTGCATTTCCTGAGTGTCTGCATGGCCGCTGGATTTTGTGTGTGTACATTTTCTGATTTTCTAATTCAAGTGATGGTTTAGGGAAGAAAACCATGTCCATGGTCTGTCCTGTCCAAGTGGTGAAGAACATTTGAATCCACACAGCCTGAGACTCCACCTTCCTGAGATTCACAGTCCTCACATGTACTTTCTGTGGTGGCTCAGATAAGAACACCCTTTTGACCAGTGGACCCTTTTTGACCGGGAACACGGTTCTTGAGCAAGGAGCCCGGATCCTCCCTGTCCTCGAAGCTGCAATAGTGAACCACACACTGCCCTCTCGTGGCGGTCCAGAGGGTTTCATCCTGAAACTGGAGGATTTTCTTTTCAAATCTAGACATTAACGTTCTCCCTCCTGTGCAAAGATGCTACCCGGCACAGCTTCAGTGTGTGACACACATGAGGCCCACCTATTCCCCGAAGTGAGGATAGACTTCAGCTGTTCTTGACGCAAAATATTCCACTGTCTGAGAGGTGGCGGGCTGGGTCACGGAGCTCTTCCCTGTGAGAAGAGGTCTTTAAAACTGACATCCCATTTTACTGGGCTGCATGAGCACTCAAGGCAAAATTTCTTTAGTTTTCAATAACAAGTGCCACAGTTCTTGTTGGAGTTATTTCTTATGTTAAAAAAGAAACAAATGACTTGAGAAGTTTTCAATTGTGTGTAATGTAGTTTAGGGAAAAAAAAGAAAAAAGAAGTCTAACCCTTGTCACTTAAAAAGTGCTATTTTGGGGCCAGGCGCAGTGGCTCCCATCTGTAATCCCAGCACTTTGGGAGGCTGAGGTGGGCGGATCACCTGAGGTCAGAAGTTCAAGACCAGCCTGGCCAACATGGTGAAACCCCATCTCTACTGAAAATACAAAAAACAAAATTAGCTAGGTGCAGTGGCGTGCACCTGTAATCCCAGCTACTCGGGAGGCTGAAACAGAAGAATTGCTTGAACCCGGAAGGCAGAGGTTGCAGTGAGCTGAGATCGCACCACTGCACTCCAGCCTGGGTGACAGAGCAAGACTCCATCTAAAAAAAAAAAAAAAAAAGTGCTACTTTGACATAGTAAGCTTGGGATGCATAATAAGTAAAGGATTTATAATGTAGTTCTTTTCTACAATAAAAATATTGAGGGACCTATTAACAGTCTACACTTCTTTTTTGTTTTTGTTTTTGAGAACCATAAATAGCTATTTAAATTTAAATTAATTAAAATTAAATAACATTTTAAATTCCTTGCTTTCACTGGCCACATTGAAAATGATCAGTATCCACGTAGCCAGTGGCTCCCGCATCAGACAGTACAGAGAACATTCTGGTGCTGCAGAAAGTTCTGTTTAGCAGTGTTGTCTGGACACTCATTTTATTTGGTTGGGACCCGTTTAATCTTCTGTCCAGATTATTGTCATGGGGGGAGTGGAAATGCCTCATATTATAGGAGAAGAGAAACTGATTTGGGAGCTAGGCAGATGGGAGCTGAAATCCCATCTGTATCATGCACTCGCTGTGTAACCTTCAGCAAGTGCCTTTGTCTCTGAACTTTTGTTGTTTGTTTTTTTTAATCGAAGAGAGATCTGGTGGTATCTGCTTTGTGCACCTGGAACAGAGCCCAGCCCTTGTGGATAGTTGATCCGCAGCAGCTGCTGTCATTGTGATTCCTGGGGAAGAGACAGGAAAGGCAAGGACCCCGGGAGCTCTCCGGGGCTGAGCTGGGGCCGTGGGTTCCTAGGACTGGGCAGGATGGGAAGGAGGAGCGAGAGATGGAGAAGGGTCACCTGAAAAAGCTCAGGAAGTTATATGAAGGTGCACATCCTGAGCGTGTATGCTGCTCTTTCGAAACCTCATTCTCCTAACGCTGAATGCTGGGTGCTGCTTCCTAGGAGCAGACACTCCAAAGCAAGGGTGCATCTGGTCTTCTGGACGGGATCCGTGGAGGAAATGCTGGCCATGTTGCTCTCCTCCGTTTAGGGTAGGAGCTTCCTTCTAACCACTCAGAAACACTACTATTTAAAATTAAGCTGTGTCAAAATGCCTCCATAGTTGTATGGGATGAGTGAAAAATGAGATGCTCTAGTAGAAAACTTTCTCTTTTTTAAGTAACATCTTAAGAAAAATACTCCTGCTTGTCCCCGTGAGCTTGTTTTTCTCCCCTCTCCCACCTTCCTTGCAAGATGGGCTGAATGATTATTATTTTCTTTTCAACTTAGGGGAGAAATGTTTTTTCTCATGATTATGTATTTTGGTGCGGCGATTTCAACTACCGCATTGATCTTACTTATGAAGAAGTGTTCTATTTTGTTAAACGCCAAGACTGGAAGAAACTTCTGGAATTTGATCAACTACAACTACAGAAATCAAGTGGAAAAGTAAGTTGTGCTTTAAACATAATTTTTAGCAGCTGCTCCAAGATGGAATGATGTCTATGAGATGTAGAGGCTGGTGCAGCAAATTCAGTTTTGTGAGTGGATTTCACTGTTTCCAACATTGTAGAAAACAGGTGGACTCGTG